TGTTGCACGCTGCTGTCTGTCTGTCTGACAGTTTGTCTGATTTCATCCTGCCTAACTGTCTGTTAAGGTTTTGCATTGTTGGTGTAGGCATACCTACATATCGATATTTGTACCGTGGTGTGGTGTTGCGAAGGGAAATTGAAAATTCTTAAGTTGTCTAATTTTTGATTCTAATGAATCTTATAAAATGTAATATAATTGAATTTTAAATTTTTAAATTAAAATAAAATTTTTTTTTTTTTTAATTTAACACAGGTGGCAACTTTTCTCAAAAATATCATTGGCCGAGTTATTTTTCAGTTTGATGCCTATATTGACGAATTTTATTTATTTTATCATTTAATTTTATAAAAATGTATAAGGTGGCAACCGTATACAAAAATATGTATATTTTATTGCAGTTTTAAAATTAAATTTTAAATTTAACACAGCTGGCAACCCTTCTCAAAAATATCTTTTATCGAATTATTTTTTGTTTGATTTCTATATTGATAAACTTCAATTATTTTATAATTTAATTGTATAAAAATTTATAAGGTGGCAACACTTTTCAAATATATATTTTATTGTTGGCTTACTCTAAAGAGGCTGGGTCAGAGCAAGGTTTTCAGATAATCGAGTATTTGCATGTATTACTGAAATTTGTATTTGAAAAATTCATTGACCTTTATCCAAATTAATTTAGACCAATTTTTTTTTTTTGACGCACATATTAAAATACTTCATTTATTTTCTCCTTCTATTGTATACAAATTTATAAGGTGGCAACACTTTTCAAATATATATTATGAAGGAGGCTTAGAACTCCTTTTAAGGAGTTAAGAGGCTTACAAAAAATCGTTTTTATGTATTTTTCGAACTTTAAGGTTTTTACATCAATAGTCAATTAATTCGCTGTATTGTTGAGGAGTTTGGATCAGTCACTGCTTCAGCACGTAAGACTTTAAATGCATTCTTACAAAACTGTATTTTTCCGGTTAAAATTTGAACCTTTTCTACATATATGCTCCTTACCAGCAAATTATATATGATTATTAATGAAGGTGCCATAACTTTGAAAAATATTTTCGTAAAGCTGATAGGACGAAACTGTGGGAATTAAATACGCAGGTCAAGGAATCACACATCTTCAGTGATATTTTCGATATAATAAGACTAGATACCATACTTTCCTAGCTAAATAGATTATCGGGTGTTCACATATGCTTTTATGGTCTAAAAGGCGATACTAATTGATGATAGCAAATGAAGAAAGATTGCATTGCTTTAGAAATATCAGCTGAAGAAGAATTTGACTTCTCTTCGAATTTCTTACTGTCGGTAATTTGCGAAATAGAGAAATTAAAGGCCATTAGTTATAAACTTAGACAAAATTGTGTCGGCTGTGAGAGATCTTATCAAGAAGAAGCCAAAGAAGCGTACAACAGTTCATACTTATTTACTATTCGAATATGAAGTGTTTAATGAACATCGAAATTAATAAATTTGTACACTGTTATCAATATAGGCTTAGTTGTGCTGAGTCCAACTAAAATAAACTCTTTCAAGATGTTTTTAGAAAAACAGAGCGCTGACGCTGACTGCAAAAGATACTTCGCTTCTGTTAATGTATATTTTGAAAGCACTGTTAATCTAAGAGAAGGTACTACTGGAGTGGATGTAGGTGTGTAACGGTTGTTTTTTATAGACAAGTGGTTTTCAATGAGGCCGTGCTTTTCTCGGAGTTGGCCTTTTTGAAAGCAGTTACTTGATTTATACTCAATTTGGTTTTCATAATAAACATACTTACATTCACTGTACGGAAGATTTCGCGGAAGGCTTTGGTTTTGCGAGCTTACAAAATCCATCTCGTGCAAGAATTGAAGCCGAACGACCATCGAACGCACGTTTTCGTACCTGAATTGGGGAATGTTGATATGGACGATCTTTGATTCAGCCAACGAAATAATCAATTTATTGAAGAAAATTTTTGTTGAGCGCATTATCACGCATCGTGGGCATCTGGCGTGGCCTTCAAGATCTTACGATTTAATACCGCTGGATTATTTTTTGTGAGGTTACATTTTTCTGTTCACCAATTGCTATATTTCGTCCCATTGTGCGCTGGACCGCTACTACTTGCAACTAACTGCTTTAACTAATCCTCCTGCAGCGGCACAACAAGCTACGTAGCTATCTATTGTTGTACTGCAGATTTGCTATTGTTGTTGCTAATTTGATTTTTTGCTCAAATTTATCCATTTGCCTTTGTTGCCAGCATATCTGCAGCGGACAAGTAACAACTTGTTTTGCCAGGTGGTCGCATAAGCAGCCAGTTGATCGGCTGGTTGGAAGACGCAGATGTGTATGTTTGTATGACTGTATGTGTGTACTTTGCACCAGTTGTGAAGGAATGCCTAGCAAAATACCCTCACAGGCGTATGAAAATATACACACATACATACTTTGATGTACACATGTCTATGCAGGGTGCTGTACAACAAGCCTAACCCGATTCGGGGGTTGCTTTATTTGATCTGCTACAGTTTCGGCTTAAATGCGATCACGCTACATTCCACTACTGATTATACCAACCTACTACATACCTACACACATATTATATACATACACTGCCACAATTGGCAAATGCGCAAAAACTTTCGAGTTTGCTTGGCCTTATGTCTCGATAATAATACCTCAAGCCATCCGCTACCCCGCACTTCGTCTTACACATACTCGTACCTGCCTGCCGCTCACTTGTGATATTTTGCCATTTCCATTTACGCACTTCGCTTTAAGATGCCGATCGTTGAGTTTTCTTTTTATTGCGCAGTTCACTTTTACGTTGAATTTTCGTCACCTTTCTTGGTTAAGCGCCTGCGCATATGCATTGTTCTAGCGGCTGGTGATTTATTGTGCTCGCTTGTGAAATGCGTGGCACATTCGCATTATCTTGTGGCGCTACAAATACTCAGAAAGTGACACTCCCCAGTCCGCACACAATACAGCGAGTTGATTTCAGCTTTTGTGCTTAGAAGAGAGCATGAAGAAGGGAGTCATACTTTATTAGCGAAATTGTAGCGAAGCGAATTAATTACCTCATAGGGGGTTGGGTCATTTCTTATGCATAAGTATTTAAACATATTTATTGCTTACTAAAAAGTGCGTAGTTTGAAAGTAAATAGATGTAGCTAAGGCGAGTTTCCTTTATAGCTGAGGGTATTCAGCTCTCTTAAGAATTCGTGGGTTTCTTTATTAGCAGTAAAATATAAGGTAGAGTAAAATGAAAATAATTATTTTTGTAATATATTGATTATTTTTTTAGAATCAAGAGAACGATTGATAACTTTCCTTTCCTTCTTTCAAAATAACACTCTCATAGAAGCTCTCGTATTACAAAAAACTGGGATAGTCAGTATTGACAAATTTCTCTTAAGGCGAAATCATTCATAGACAAGAACATGTAATAATTATTTGGTGCCAGTTTCGGCCAATAAGCGATAAGTGTTATTTGGCATTGTCCTGGATGATTTTGTGCAAATTTTCTTTTAACTAAACCTTATAATTTACATTGGTAGTAGGGTGGAGCGAAGAAAAACAGCGATTTTTTTTCGCTTAGCCTGAGGGAATTTGCAGATTATAAAAAAAGAAAATTTTTGGAAAAAAAAACAGTTTTTTTTAACATCTCCACTAACTTTTACAGTAAATTGCGAGTAAAAATTTTCTGGTCATAAAAAATTGTTTATAAGTATTCTAGAAGCTGCGGAGAGTCCTCTTTCTTTTCTCATTATTGTAGTTTAAAAAAAAGTCTTAAACGACAACATGCTTTCTTTAAGCGGTAAAATAAATTTTGAGTCAAACACCGTCAATTTCGGTAATTTTTACATAAATGTAAGGAGTTTAAACCAAAAAAAAATTTTAACTCGAAATTTACTTTAAAAGTGAGTGGAGATGTTAAAAAAAATTGTCTTTTCTTTCCAAAAATTTTCTTTTTTTCGCTCCACCCTAATTGGTAGACTGGCAGTGTATAGGAAAGGTAATTTTCAAACAATTTTTTTTTAAATCTCTAGTGATCGCTATGTAGTATTGGGTTAGGTTTGGTTATACTAGCCGGCTGTCACGCCATACATAGACCTACTGGTCCTTAGTAATACCAGATGGAGGTTCAATGTAATTTAAGGTATAGTATTCGTCGTACAGACTGTCAACGTTTTTTGTGAACTTTTTTGAGCAACTTGATGTTTAAGTTTGATACTTCGTCTAGTACTTTGAATTGCGAAGCTGCTAGATAGTTTAAACGAGTTCTAGATAACGCTGGACAGAGACACAGCGTCTCGAGGCCTGCTTCTCTGCACTTTCTGCGTGTATTGCCGTTACTTATGTCCATCCGCCTCGCATGTGATGCCAGTAGATTGTGACCTGTCATGAGGCCAGCAACCGTCCAGCAGTCCTTTCGAGCAACCTCATCGGCTATTTCGTTTCCCGGAATCTCTTTGTGACCTGAAACTTAGTATTTACTTAGTATATTACAGCTGCTACAACTAGTGCCTCGCTACTTCTAAGGACATTCTAGTATTTATTGTAGTATTTATTAAAGAACAAATGCAAAACGGTGCCAGATTGGGTTATTAACGAAATTTTCTTGTCTGCAGCATCATTAACGGCGCTCGAAGGTCTAGTAAAGCTGGTATGCAGCTTTTACAAAATATCTACTCATTTTATTAAAACAAACAATGCAAAGGACATTGAAGCATATGTAATTATGTTAAATATTTATGTGTAATGTGTCATCTAAGGACCTTTATAAGGTGAAGTCATAAAATTAGTGTGTTAAAAAGTTTACGAGCATTGGCCAGGTGGTCCACATTAATGCAACAAAATATTCAGCTGTCAATTATGCAACAAAGTTCTTGTGATAATAAAATAGGTGCTTTGGAGTGTGTATGAGGAACTGATGTATGTGAGTGTATATATGTGTGTGTAAGAAAATTATTTCTGCATCGAAATTAACAAGCTGAGAATTTCACACCTTTTACAATTTTATTACTCAAAGTACAATAATAAAAACTGAATCTCTTAACACACGACATATACGCGTGCATTTATATATATACATATATATATATATATATTTGTGTGCGTATGTGTGTGCGATCGTAAAAGTTGTTTAAATGAAATTAAAAGATTTCAATTGACAAATGTTTTCTATGCTTTACATTTTTTTTTTGCTGCATTAAATTGACAGCGCTAGAAAACATTAAAATGAACTCATAAAATTAACAGCAAAGGATTTTTAATGACTGCTTGACTCGCTGTAAATGTGTCACGGCTGTATGCTAAACACACAGACATAAATAGGCATGTATACATATAAATTAAAGATGACTTTATTTGTATGCAAGCATGTCCGTTCGTATGTAAGTAGCATACCAAACCTGGCTCATATATAAACACCGAAGTTGCTTTGATAGCCTTTATCCTTTTAAAAAATTTTATAGCTTTTTATTACATGCTTTTGCTAGTCGATCATTTGCAGCGCAGCTACGCGCCTGATAGCGGTTATTAGCATAGCGCTAAACTACTTCTGCTGACGGCACATTTGCTTATGACCTTATTCGGCTTTTTCACTTTCTTCACACGTACTTTTTTCACTGTCGCCGAACAGCAGCGTCTGATAGCAGCCAGATACTCTTGAGTGTAATTTGGAACTCTATACATATGCCTGGGTAGACTGCAGCAGGAAGGTGGAGTAAACGAGCCACACGGAGCCCAGGGTGTACACGGTGTACAAGATCCACATGGACCGCAAGAGCTAAATTTGGCCGAAGGTTTGCATGGATTGCAAGGATCGAAAGGATTAAACGTCATGGGCGGAGCACACTGTTTGCAAGGAGCTCTTAGCGTCGCAGAAGCACACGGTCTGCAAGATCCAAATAGATTACAAGGCTCACAGGGAGCGCAAGGTTTACACGGCCTGTAAAAACTATCAGGAATGCGACGATTATATGAACCGCGCGGTAAATTGGAATAGCATGAACCGTTTACACTGCAGCGCGAAGCACCACACGGACCACAAGGTTTGCAAGGAGCACAGCAATCGCGAGGACCAAATGGGTTGCATGGCTTTCCAGCATTACACGGCCCACATGATCCACAAGATGCAAAATAACCAAACTGTGCACAAGGTACACACGGTGTATATGATCCCGGGACGCACATGCCACATGGGCCACATGTCGCACCAGTCCTTTGAAATCCGCAAGGTCCAACTGATGTGCTACGTCTACTCGCGCCGCAAAAGCCGTTGGCTGTGCAAGGTTCGCAAACCCGAAATAATCCACGAGACGCATGTGCACTGAAAGGATTGCAGGGTCCGCCTGTTTTACATGACGCGCTATATTCATATGCATCGCAAGTTGTATAATTTGCTGCAGGACTGCATGGGCCGCAATCGAAATTGTAAAAATAACGCATTTTATGCTTTGAGTTGTGGTGAATCTGCTCCAAAAAAGAGTTCTTAGTAAAGTTATGGAATTTAGTAAAACTTTCCGACTTACTTTTGACTTAAAATTTTGCAAAATTTAGAATTTCGATGAGCATTGAAAGCCGAAAAGAGTTAACCAAAGGTTTTGTTTTAATTAATTTTTAAAATTTAAAAATTTTTGAAAACCAAAATTAAATTAATGTCACATGTCTTCCTTTTTTTTATAAAGGATGCGGAAAAGGCAAAGTAACTTTAAAGTAGTATAAGGGTAAGCAAAGTCTAAACTTTTAATATTTTTTTGCTCCAAGATTAACAAAAAGTGGCAAGTGCGAGATTTCTGCTTCCTTTTGAACCGCTCATTCTTCAATATGCGGAGTTCAGCAGAACAACTCATGCTCCACATTCCTAACATTCTTTTCTTTAAGTATTACCATCTATAGTCTTAGAAGATATCAGTCTCTGGTCGGTCTTATCGTAGGATTAGTGAGTGAACTACGAAATTAACTTTCAATAACACGCACGTTTAACAATACTCTATCATACACAAACCACTTAGTCATGTCACACACCATCTGACAGAGTTTTAAACACTTTAAAGAACTTGCAACCGATTCGGTTCCAATTTGTGATAATACCGACATTCATACAGCCAATAAGAACTCTGGAGAAAGAAAACCTGGAATTATCAACAATAATGAGAAGTTATGTAGTCCTTCATGTTTACATTTCTGAAAGTGTATGAAAAAAGCTCAGTCCACACGAATCCACACCTTTAAGCTCCACATATGTATATTAAGTTTGGCGCTTAGAGATTTAAACTTCATCTCCAAGCGTGAAATGAAGTAATCGAAACTCAATAGCTGATTTAAGTAATCTTTGAGCTAAGGCAGCCGATAACATAAGTAACATTTTAGGGGTCAGCTGAGTGCAGAACATGCGTGGAGGATGATTAGACGCTCGAATATTACCTTTGCGAATGCCTAGCTTTCAGCCGGTTGAGACGGGATATCTGCTACGGCGTTAAATGTCCCTATTAAGGAGGCATAAGGCAGCGGAGGAGGAATAAAATTGGGTCTGCCAAATCCACTAAGCTGTTTAAATAGTTGAATGATAGAATGATGACCCAAGTGTCAACTAAGAGTACTACCTCGGTCTTGGCTAAGCCTTCGAAGTCCATAAAGACTGCATTAACGATCTGAGCTCGTGTCAGAAAGAGATACATATAATAAAGTTATACTAGGTTATGTTTTACTGATCTGATCTGAACAACATGCTTGGAGGTTGCAGCATTGCCTTGGACAATAATCGCTATCAAATTCAATGAAGACAAGCGAAATCGATTAAGCTCGTCAGGCTTACATTACAGGGTCTTGTTATGTTTCCTTCGGGATGTAACATACTTAATATACCCTGTTCAAGGTATAAAAAAGTGTATACCCTTGCTGGTTTCGTCAACTTTTTCCACGGACGCCATTAAAGCTCACGAAGCATATATTATAGCACTAAAACCAATAACTAATCGATTATCTTCAATGAAAGCGCTCTATATGCGTGTGCTGCAAAAAATTTAATGGCAACCAAATAATAAGCATTGCAACACTACTCACAACACCTCGCCTATCCCATTAAAAGTGCTGCCGCTGCCTAACTCCAATATGCCCCCGAGGCCAGCAAATTTTCTACTGGCGATTGAGGTTGCACTTTAGACAACACGTCGCCGCTTTTGCTGTCATGTCTTCGCCACATTTGGCCACCGTTGCAGTGCTGATACGCACACACACACACACATACACTCGTGTATAAATCAGGGTCTGCCGTGTTGCATGTGGCACAGCACGCTCGTAAAATGCGAAGATTTATGATCGCAACGCCACCCTGCCGCGTCTTGCCACCTCAGCGCCACACACGGACAGACATTTGTTACTACATTCACTGACATTGCGGCATGGGAATGCGCTGGAGCAGTGGTGGCAATACTACGCGCCAAGGTGCGATAATTTATGAGTTGTGCGCTGCGTATTTGCCACCGCTGCAAGGGCGGCAAACTAACTAATATTAAGTGGCATGAGTTGTAGTAGTTGCATGAATGCGTGTCTTTGAAGATGAGCTGTGTTGTCTTCCGTGCACCTTTGGCGGTGACTTCGCAACAGCGGCGTATATGTTGCTGACCTTATCATTGCGGCATGTTGCATCCGTTGCATGCAACATTTCCGCTGGCGCATATCGAATGCATGACATCTGGGTATGTCTTTGCAAGTCTATATTATACATATACGTGCATGCATAGTTAGACTCATAAATCTTTCCTCATTCCTATCGATTTATTGGCGTTGAGACTCAAGTCATTAATGTCTGCTAATTTCACATGCAACGCTGAATAACTAAAGTATGCAGAGGTCAACCAGAAACCCGACAACTGTGTAATACTGCGGTTTAGAGTTTTAAAGACTCCTTTATATAAGCATGCAGTTATGGAAAACGAGCGCTGCATATAAAATTGTGAATAGACGGAGTGATTTGCCTACTGCTGGTAAAGCGAATACTTCAACACTTGACGATACGCTAAATATGCCGTTGAGCCTGACTCTATGGAATATATAATACTTAAAATTAATAGACGATTTACTTCGTCGTTTTTACTGTATAGAACACGTCTTCGACCAAGAACTCTGCAAAATCGATAAAAACTTGCGAAAACCGACCATCATGTAAGCGCTGTTTTGAATGCTGAGTAGCAAAACATTGCACAAAAAATTTTTTGAGATCATTTAAATAAGACTAGGTACAAAATGAAGCTCCAAGAATGGGGTTACACGAATTAACGCGGAAAATATGTACCTCATGAACCGAATTTCCATCTGCGAACCGCAACAAAATCGATTCATTTCTTAAGCAGTTGCAAAGTGGGTTACTTATGACAACGTCAAGCGAAACTGGTCATAGTCGAATTGCGATGAGTTGGTGCAAATGGTGGCCAAACCAGAATTGATGGTCAGTAAAGTTTTGCTATGTGTTTGGTCGGAACGACAGAAAACAATTTACTATGAGTTCCTCTACTGTGATAAAACCCTTAATTCGCGCTTGTATTGCCAACAAATGAACAGTTTGAAGAAAATATTCGCCCAGAGGCGTTTAGCTTTGACCAATTGGAGTGGAAGTGTGTTCCATCGGAATAACGCTATTTTACATATAATATATATTTCATATAATAGGGCTTAGGTATCATCCATAGCCACATGTTTGAAAAGAGAACTACTTGTACTACCACTACCTATAAGGTACTGATTATCGAATAGCATTTCTTAGCTTTTCCCTATTATGTCATCTAGTTGAGCGCAAACTATATAAGCTCTTTCACCTTGATGAATACGGAAGAGGATTGCTAAATGCAGAAGGTGGAACCTGCAGGTACATATAGATGCTAAAAATCTGACAATTTATTTTTTACACTAACGTTGCATTAAACCAGCAACAGATTGTATCGGAACAAATGGGTTCCGAGTGTCCATTTCACGGTCAAGACTGGGATTTATTACTCGTACTTGATACTTTAGTCTTTGAGTGTGTTAACCATATATGTGAAATAATTCGTGTGTGCTTCGTGTCTGCTCGTTTCAGCATCGCAATTTGTTGTTGCGCCTCTTTCACAACGTGGGCGAATGCGAAACTTATGATTAGGATCGTGTAAAGAATTTAAATTTGACTTCTAGAGATAGCAGTAATTGGATTGACTAATAAAATCAGTTCTTTTTAGTACGAGTATAGCATTGACACGCTTTATACCCAAAACATTAATCAAAATGTGTTGAGTCGATCGATAAGAGATGTTGAGTTCCTCTGCTATCTCTCTAAAGCCAACACGACACGGCAAACACTGTCTCTTTTACTGTTTCAAAATTATCGTCATTAACAGAGGTGGATGGTCGACTCGCATGAGGCAAGTTTTCGAGTACGTCACGATCATCACTAACTGCTTTATGCCACTCAAATACTTATGTTTGTGATATGTATAGTAGACTCTCGTTTGCAACATTTTCAACGACTACATATACATGATTCCATTGGAAATACAAAACTTTAAGTAAAATCTTTGCTCAATAATTTTCCATGATAAAAATCACCAAACAAACTAATCGCATTGTCCACAAATAGCTGCCAAACAGACACTAAACGCTCTATGGAGATCAAACTACACATAAACAAAAAAAATCTAGAAAAAATTTTTTTATTACAGGGTTCAAATTTGATCAGTTGATAGTTTAGTGAAATGTGGTAAGAAGCTAAGCAGCAAAACGAGTGGTTTAGATGAAAAGACTTCAGATTTTATTAAGTTTGGTTAGTTAAATGAGTTGAAATCGATGAAAATCAATTTGGGTGATACTCTTGCAATTGAAGTTAGGTTAGTTTAGAACAATGAAGTTGCAGAATTGTTCGAATCGTCGGAAATATTAACAACATATATTCAAAAATCTCTAAATGAATGCAGATCAACGAGATGGGCCAGATACAACTCAATCAGTAATTACTTACGGAGTTACATACATACATACTTGGACGCCTCCATTGAGTCATCGCCAAGCACATTAGACCGCATCTTTTCACATGCGGCAGACTGGTTGGCGGCCACGCAAATCAAATAAATGATAAAAGCTGATTACTGATTCATTGGCTGGGAGCTGATCTTCAGGCGCAATTTGGAAGCGCTTTGTCTGACTACCAGAAATATGTAAGTATGTATGTAAGTGCAAGGAATCTCACTTACATATATGTACATACAGCTAACCGCACTTGCAACACAAATGTGCCGCTTGCGCAGCAGCAGTAACAGTGGACGGCCGCGGCAACACCGCTGCGCCATCAAAACACAATTTAGCGATATTACCAATGTTCGACGCATTGAGGCATGCCATTCATTACATTTAATCATCCATCATCGCTTTACAGAAATGCCAACAGATGGATCCACAAATACACACACACACATTCCCGCACACAAGCCTAGAAGCAGCGTTGTGTGTTTATGGGCTTATGCGGCACACCTGAGTGCGCACTGCGTATGCTTTTGTTGTTTGCGCCTGCGCACAGCGCAATATCTATAATTGCGCAGTGAAAAATGAGCGAAGCTGAGAAGAAAAAAAAAAACTCAGCAGAAAATAAAAGAAAAGATTTATTGAAAATTACACCCGTTCTCGGCGAAGCGGGGCAACACTAAGCGTGCA